GTGGACTCATGGATATTTATCTTATACTTTGGGTTATAATCCAACACCATGTTATTTACTTACATTTGGCTTTTTAAAGACTTTATTTGAACAGAAAATTCTGTTGTTTAAAAGTGTTAGAAAACTATTGTTCGTATATATTTTTAATCTTTCCTCCTTTTTTCCCTTTTTTCCTTTAAACATCCTATTTATTATTCTGTGGGGGCAGTTAAAAGCAAATTACCAGTTAGTATTTAATTATGTTTTTCTTTATTTATTGCAGAAATCAAGTTAAAATGTAAGCATTTAAATTGTTTTTGGAGTGGCAGAGACCAAAAGGCATTTTTTTCCCTATTGTATCCTGAGTTTGCATTCAGTACTTTGAATTATTGCCCAGCTCACCTGTAGAGAGATTCATAGTCATCTGTCTTCCCACAGCTCCATAGGAAGTGTAATAACATACAAGGTTTAGGAATAATTTTGGGCCTTCTCTTTTTTTCTTCAAATTTTCCTTAAATACAATAGAAACTTTGAAAATGCTACTCACTGTGCTCTTCTTGTTCTTATTGCTGGAAGAAAGGTAGGCTTGTCACAGGAACCCTCACATCAGTCGTCCATGCTATCTGTTTTCTAAAATGAATCTCCTCTGTGCAATTTTTTTCTCCACTAAAGAATATAATTAGGGCCAGCCCCAGTGGTCCAGTGGTTAAATTTGGTGTGCTCCACTTCAGTGGCCTGGGTTTGGTTCCTGGGTGTGGACCTACACCCTTCCTCTGTCAGTGGCCATGCTGTGGTGGTGGCTCACACACAAAATAGAGGAAGATTGGCAGCAGATGTTAGCTCAGGGCGAATCTCCCTCAGCAAAAAAAAAAAAAAAAAAAGAAAAAAGAATACAATTAAATAAACTGTATGTAAACTTATATTCCACCTTTCTAAAAAAAAACATCTAAAAGTCTACTATCTAATTGATCCTAACATACTTATTAATCTGGCTTAAAATAGAGGGAAAACACCCTAAAGATATTTCATTTCTTTACTTCTCTTAATGTTGTTGATTTTCTTTTGTATTTCGTTAGTTATTTTGTTCTAAAATCTAGTGCTCTTAGGTGTTCTTGTTTCTGTGCCAGTTCACACACACACAAGTACTTCAGAGACTAGTTTTAGCTGCAGGCACATCCCTCTTTTTTTTATTGAAGTTGTGGGCAGACAGTTATACTTGAAGACCAGATGACCTGGCTAATTGGGCTGGAAAGACGCTTCTGAATCAGGTGTTGGTTAGTGGTTTAGTATGCAATGGGTTACTCACGCAGCCCTAATAATAGGATGCCCCATTAAGGACTCAGTCCTCCTGTAAGGAATTCGAGGCCCATCCTAGCATGGCTGACTTCCTAAGTGGTCAAGTAAACTGAGCTCTGTGGTTAGCTCACAGGAGGATCAGGTAATATGCCCAGGGCTGGACCTTGGGATGTGGCTAGACAGGTCTGAAGAGTTTACTGTTGCAATTAAATAAAGGGTAACAGTGTTAATTAGAACGTGTTGAGAAGTCATTATTGTATTTCGTGGTAATTGCACAAGTTAAGCATGAGGGATAAGCTCTTCACTTAATTGACTAGAATTAGAATTATTTTAACACAACCAGAGCAAACATTCAATACTCATTCTTTCTCATCAAACCAATGCCCACCTTGATGGTCTCCTGATTCCACCCAGGATTTTTTTCTCCATTTCTTTGTTTATTCACTAAGCCATAGGTCCTTCATCTGATGACTTCTATACAGTAAAAGCTTCTCTACACTCTGATTTCCTAGGGCTAACGACTCAGGGAGGCTGTGAAATTTGTCCATAATTGAAAATAAGCTTATGTTCGGTGAGCAGGACTGACCACAAATGATGACTAGAATTTCTCTTTTGTCATGGCGCACAAACCAAGCTGGGTCTAGGGCAGGGAGGGAGAGGCATTGCTTCAGATAAGGCCTGGGCTTCTTTGGCCTTGGGGTCCTGCTCACCACAGCCCCCAGAGCTGGTGTGGATCAAGAGGGGTATCACAGCTCGGGGGCAGAGGATGGTGACCCCTCAGCTGAGGATCTTTGTCCCTGAATTAGCCTCTGGTATCAGCAGCCACCGTGGAGCCTCTTCTGCTCGGAAGGTGGGCCTGGAGACATTGTTTTCCAAAACAGAGGCTTGGTTTTCTTCAAAGTGTAAATTCATTGCTTAATGCTGCAAAAATGGGTTTAGAAGTACGTTAGTAGAGGATGTTTAAGTGGTCGTAATTCACACCCTTACCATTTAGCTCTATGTTGCATCCCACAGCATTTTAATCAGTCTAATTTGATCTTGTCCAAAACACTTTCCTACCATTGCTGATTATCCAATAGGACAATCTTACTGAAGTCTGGGCGAGTGTTACCTGGATGCGGTGGCCTGAGAACTTTTTCCTTCCCTTTAAAGTTTCTTTAGGATTCACATTTTAAGGATCAGTGATGCTTACATTGTATGTATGGTTTTACAAATGAGACATGAAAAAGTGGAAAATGAGTTTGAAAATTATTCTCATATGACAGCCATCATGAAACTTAATAAGGACGAATGGCACTTACAGAGTCATAAGCCTCTAAAAGATTCTAAAGATTGAGAGAAAAAGAATAAACCCTCAAAGAGTTTAGCCACCTTCAGTCAATTTTAAATAGGAGGCCCAAAATAAATAAGTGAGAAATTTAAAAACTAATTCACATCAGTACATGCCAGCTTTTTTTCACATTGTTAGGATATTTGCGTATCTTTTGGTCAAAAGCTGCTTACTTAAAAAAAAATGCATTCAAAAGAAAGACATACACAATATGGCATGAGTTTTTTAAAATTAAAATGAAATTTCTTTTATTGCTTTTTCTTTTTAAAAAGCACCACTGCTCACTATAGAAAAATTAGAAAATATAGACAAGTAAAAAGAATAAATGGTAAAATATCCATAGTCTCACCTGCTTTAAACAATCACTAGTAACACCATGTTAGATAATTAAAATATCCTCCTAGGTAAATATAGATATTTAATTTTTTACAGTTTGTATAATACTTTACACCATTAGCAGTACGTCAGATAATTAGAATACCCTCCTAGGGGTGGGTGTGCGGGTATATATACATTTGTGTTATCGGTACCAAGCAATGGGCTCACTCTGCTCGCCTCAATCTGACCCAATTAACCATGAGTTAGAGATCGAGAAAGGAGGTTTAATTCGATTAGCCAGTTAATTGGAAGATGGGGACTAATGTCTCCAAAACTCATGTTCAAGGATTTCAGAATCTTGAGGCAGTTAGTTATGTAGGGCAAATGAGAGTGAGGACTGGGTCCGGGGATGTTGGTCTCTGAGTGTGACTGGCTGCAGGCATCACATTGTTCCATTCTTCTGTCAGCTGTGATAGATACCTTGTAGGTGTGTTTCCCACCTGTGGTCAGCCTGTTCTTAGAAACTCATAGAACAAAGTTTTAATTTATCAGGCTACAGCGGAATACATACATAAGTGGGGGCCATAAATCAGGAGGGCATGTGAATTTTTTAAAATTACGTGCAGAGCAGTGAGTAGTCACACAGAGGAGGGTCTGGGGCCATTTAACAAAACAAGATGGCCTCACTTTTGCTCACTTACATTATTATACACAATATAATATATGTTATATAATATATTATACATAGTATAATATATATATTTAAGTGTATTTATAATATGTTTTTAAAAAGACAACTGTCTGAGTTTGACTCTAAACCTGTTCTGTGAGCATAATTTACCTTTTTTTTTTTGAGGAAGATTAGCCTTAAGCTAACATCTGCCACCAATCCTCTCCATTTTGCTGAGGAAGACTGGCCCTGAGCTCACATCTTCCTCTACTTTATATGTGGGACGCCTGCCACAGCATGGCTTGACAAGTGGTGCCATGTCCGTACCCGGGATCCGAATTGGCAAACCCTGGGCCACCGAAGTGGAATGTGTGAACTTAACCGCCGTGCTACCGGGCCGGCCCCTGTGGGCATAATTTACTTTTTAACAGTGAATCCTGTGTTGAAGAATACACATTCAGTGGCTGATTATTCTTCAGTTTCTGTAGAGTCTCTCCTTTCATACAAAAAGGGCATCTCTAAGTAAATCTTCTTGGTACTAAGCTAATTTATCTTTTTGAAGTCACAGATGGAAAATGACCTGATTTGTTAATTGTACAATTTGTCATTAGTAGGTAATTTAAGTGTATTTTCTACTCCACATAGGTGTTTATGCATGAATTTAAATGGTCTAAATTCACTATTAGAAACTGTGGATGTGCTGGAAAGAACTCTGGTCAGATATTCAGGATAATGTGAGTTTTGGTTTTGTTTCTGCAATTAACTTACTGTGAGTCTGGGCACTTTATTTCCGGAAATTCCCCTTGGACTCTTCTCTGTTTCAGGCCCTGCCTCTGAAGCTGAGATGAATTAACCTTAGCCTCGTCACTGCCCCCGGGGGATTTACCATCTAGTACAGTGGTTCTCACGCTCCAGTGAGCATCGGACTCCCCTGGAGGGCTCAGCGGAACACGGAGTGCTGGGCCTCACCCTAGACTTCCCGATTCAGTAGGTCAGGCCTGGGCGGAGAATTTGTGTTTCTAACAAGTTCCCAGATGATGCTGATGCTGCTGGTTTGGGGACTATGATTTGAGAACCACTGATCTAGTGGTTTGGCTGACACATCAGTAACCACAATTCAAAGATTAAATGCTGTGAAATAAGTACAAGTAATGTGCAGTGGGAAAGAGGGTGTGGAGAAGTGGGTCAAAAGACTAATGAACAACCGGAGATCTGGGAAGCCCTAATGGAAGAGGGAGAGGTTATACGGGATCTTGACAAGTGGATAACGCCTGGACAGGTAGGGCATTTTGGGGGATGGCACCATCCCAGTCTCCTGATGGGGGCAAGAGTGCAGAATGTGTATGGGAGTAGGGATGTGGTCTAGTTGGTGGAGAGGAGGGTGGGTGTGGGGGAAGGAACAGCCAGGAACAGATGGAATTGTGAATGAGAGAGCTGGAAAGTTAAAGTAAGCATGCTCTTGGTTTTTGGATATTGGCAGCCGTGGAAGAGCAGGATCAGAGCCAGGCTTCAGAAGGGCAACGATGGCATTGTGATGCATGGCTTGGGAAGAGAAAGAGTGATTTCAGGAGAGACAGTTAGGAATTATTGGGGCAGCCTAATCCGCAAGCAGGGATGAGCTGAAGAAGAGCGTGAAGTGGGAGGGATAGAGTTGTGTGATGGGTCTGCGCAGAAGCCACAGATTTGGTGGTTGATTGGTTCCGGAAGATGAGGGACAGGGAAAAGGCAAGGGAGACCGAGGATTCAAGTCTGAGTGGTTGGGAAAGAATAATGTGGCTGGCTCCCTCAGGGGAAATAGATTGGGTAAGAAGACAAACTTCTTGGGGCTTTGATTTTTTTAGGAGGGGACTGGACCAGATCTTCTTAAAGGTCTCTTTTTGTATGATTGCAATCAATGTTTTGAGGGCTGTTGCTTGTCTGAAATATTATAGAATATATTTGTACAAAAAGTAAAGGGCTGATCTATAACAGGCACTCATACATTTGTTGACTGATTGATGTGGGTTAATCGTTAGTTCTGAAATATTTACATCTGTAAATAGCCTTCTTTTCCAGCTCTTCTTCGTTTTGCTTATAGTTTTCTTAGTATGTCACCTTGCTCTTCCTTCCATTTTATATGCTATGCATGTGAACATTTCTCGGATATATATTCTATGTATGTATTTAAATAAGTGTAGCAGATATTTTAAAGCTCTTTGTCTTTTCCCTCCCATTGTAATAATAGCACCACGTGTTGATATATTGGTGCGCAAGTCTGTCTTCCTCACAGGATTATAAACTCCTTCTAAGTAAAGAATATGTCTTACTCACTTTGTCTTCCTCACTGCACTCATTATAAGTGCTTGTATAAAGTGGCCTGCAAATGTTTGAGGAATCAGATTGAGTCATTGAGTAAAAGTCAATTAATAGCTGTTCTTCGGGGAGAGACAAAATGGCTGAGGCAATAAAAAGTAATAGTTTAAAGAGAAATGGAAATCTGTGTATCTCGGGAGGTAGAAAGAGGGAACGTTTAGTTCAGTAGACCCTCTGGACTAGAATAGAGATCTTCAAGGACACTTTAGGAACCAGAAGCAGAAGCCCATATAAAGTAGGAGAGTGTTCAACTCTGTCTTAAATTAGCCATTGGAAACCTTGGGCCAGACCTTTCTACTCTGGGCCTCAATTTCCTTATTTGTAAGGTTGTGGTTATAGTCAATTATGGATTTTTATACCTCTCCCCACAACCTTTTGGGGAGCATTCCAAACAGAGGGAACAGCATGAGCAAAGCATCAGAGATGGGAAGGCGTATGTGTGTTCTTGGTGACCAGGGTGTGACGTGCTAGGAGTTGAAGCAGGAGAGGGAGATAGAGGCCCAGTTTCAAGGGCCGTTTCTGCTAAGATAAGGAGCTTGGACTCTGTCCTGTGGGAGAGTCTTGTGCCAGGTAGTTTAACTGGGAATGCCATTAGGGAGCAGGAGTGAAGGACCAGGGAGAGTCACACGGGGAAGGAGGCGTTATTGAGTTGGCTGTTGCTGTAGGCAACTGATGGCTTGATTCTGAGGGATCTTGTCAGGAGAAGTCTTATGACATGCGTCTCAGTACAGTTCCCCTGGAGAAAAAAGGGAGACGTTTTATCCATATTTCTCGTCTCCCATTGATTAAAGGCAGCCCCACCTTTTCAGATGGGCATGTCTGACTGCCAGGCAGGTTGCCATGGGCGCCACGTGGAGCAGCATCAGAGGAGCCTGGGCTAAAGATGCCCGGTCAGGTCGCACTTGTGTGAAGCTGGCTGCATTCTTCATGGAACCGGCTGCCATTGCAATGGCAGGAATACCAGGTGAGTTTGACAGGGTTTGAAGGAGTGCTTAAAAGGTGGCCGGTACGGGGAGCTGTTGAGATTTTTGAACAAAGGAACCACCTAATCAGGTTTATACAGTGATGTGCTGGTAAATGTTTAACCACCAGCTCTCCAAATAAATGTGTATGTGTGTGTGTGTGTGTATATATATATATATATATACGTAAAATAAATTTTACTGATATAAGGGATGTGTACTATACAATTTACAAATAATGATAAAACAGACAATACTCTTTGTCGTAAAGTCTTATTGACTTATAATTGACTCTGTCAGGTTTCTGTTGGTTTTTGCTGAATTCTTGTGTCTGTAGCCAACCTATGATTACAACTGACAAAAGAAGGTAGTCGATGTTTTCTATTACGGCATGGAGTAAGATGAAAGTGAAACAGTGAAGGCATATCCCAGAACTTCACTTGTTCGTTATGCATCTTCTTTATGAAGTAGATGGGACTAGAAGAGTATTTCCTCAACTTTTTGTTTTTATTTGCGACATAACTACTACAGGTGCCACACATTTAATTAACATCTTCTCCATCACTTTCTTAAGCCTAAACAACCAACAAAACCAAAATCAAGCTATGATTTGTTGGGTTTGTCAATTTCCATGTGTCATTCTCCCATTATGGCTGATTTCAAGTTACAGGGGTTTGGGAAGAGATGTGCAATTGTGTAACATTATACAGTCTTTCCACAGGCAGGTAAAATAGACCTAAGTAACTTGAAAAGCATGGATATTAGTAAAATGCACTAAAGTAATAAAGAAATGATAAATTTTGAGTATTTATTACCTTGGGCTTAATATAATTGATTTCATTGTAAGTTTATATAATTTAATTTTTAATAAGTGATACGTTTAACAACTGATTCATAAAATTCCTGAAAATTTACCCATCAGTTCTTAGGAGCTGGGATGAGCCAGCCCAGCACACTGCTGGAGTCATATTTTTAGGAGCTCACTTTGGTAGCAATCTGTAGAAATGTTTTGAAGGAGGGTGTAGGGAAAAAGAATCTGAGCTGTAGTTTGGGGGGAAAGTAGCAGACAGACTTAGGAAGTGCCTTCAGACCCTGCCAGCATGAGGGCTCACAGGAAGTCAGGTTAACAGAGATGATGCAAATGCCGGTGGTTTGTGTTCAAACGTGGCCATGGAGGACATTTAATAAAAACCTCCCCCAGGTACTCCTGCAGTCTTGCATGTGCTTGCAGAGCCCCACAGCCTCTGCAGTCTTCTGCTTTGGCTTCCTTGTTGATGACCGCGCACCAAAGGGATTTGAGGATGAGGCCCCACACCCGCGGGTGCCCTCCTGGAGAATGGGGTCTGTGCCAAGGAAGGTTCATGCAGGGCCTCGCTTTCCCAAGTTTGCAAATCTGGCTCTAGAAAGGTGTTGGAGACTGGAATGTGCCCTGCAGAAATTTGCGTCCAGGAGCCTGAAGTTGTTGGGGTTGTTTTTTTGTGACTCACAGAGGCAAGAGGAAGACAGCTGTCTCCATTTCTTCCTGCAGCTGCTCAGTGCAGCAGCCTTGGCCAGTCTGGAGCAGGGCAGGGGAACAGCCCCTCTTCCTTCTCCTGGTTTGGCTCCTGGAAGTCACAGAGGTCTGTCTGTCTGAAGGCCCCCTTCTCCTCCTGCAGACCAGCTGGTGCACATGAATGTCTGAAGGCCAGGAGGCCCCCGATCCATCTGCACTCCGAGAACATGGATTTCACTTTGGGGTTGTCTGCTCCCCCACTACTCTTAGTAGAAAAATAAGGTGGAGTAGATAAAAGAGTGGAAGTGGCCCCTGGGTACCTGGTGGGGCCAATAACGGAGGTGTGGAATATGGAGGGTGGCACATGTGTGACTGAGTGTGGGAAAGGGAAAAGGATGGAATTGAGATATGAGGCAGAGAAGTTTAATCATGTTCAGTTTTGAACTTGATAAAATGGGTGCCTGTGAAACAGTTCAGTGGGTTCTAGGCATTCTGGAGAAAGGGAGGAAAGGAATGGTGGTAATGGGAGTAGTAAGCTGGTGAACCCATGAGTGTCTATGACACCTCCTCCCCATGAGGATGTAGAAAGACAGAGTCGACAGGTAGACCAGCTAGAGCTCAGAACCCCAAGGACCAGTGTTTGAGGGATGGTGTCAGGGGTTAGGAGCCCAAGAACTAGACAGAGAGGAAGGTTCAGGGAACCCTGAAAGGAAGGAAATAGCACAAACAAAGGAGCTGAGGCACAAGTGTGGCTCATACTGGGACAGTTTGGCTCATTGTGTTTATACTTAAGCTTCTCAAGTTTATCTATTCAGAGTTATGATTATGTTCCACCTCGCCTCCCTTTTTCCCTCTGAAAAAAGGAGTCAAAGATTCTGCGGTGTCATCAACGACCCGTCAGGAAGGCATCTGACACTTGTGTACCACGTTAATCCTTTGATCCAGCCTTTTGTAGTCAGTGCGAGGAGAAAACAAATTTACTTTAAGCTGAAGTTTTGGGAAATGTCAACTTTTTCCTGTTTGATGTTTCTTGCTGTGTTTTCCATCTTAATCACTTTATTTTCCCCTTGGTCACGGGCCTGATATTTTTTTCTCCCACAGTTGTCAGCTGCCTGGTGTGTCAGGCAGTTTTTCACCATGATAGAGTGACACAGGAGAGCTCAAGCTGGCAAGGTCACTGCCCAAAGTGTGTGCCACTCTTGGTGGTTACATTCACGCACATCCAGAAAGCCCAGGGCTACTGAACTGAATTCTAGGCTGTGGAATGACCATGTAGTTTGCATGTAGCAAAAAATATCCCCTAGACATGTTCCAGGGTTGTTGGTTTGGGAGAAATCAGAGGACTCCAACATGAAAAGACAGGGCCTAATAAACAGATGGTGGAGTGAGTTTTCTACAGCACAGATCTGTCAAATAAGCGAATTTGGATGTGACTACAGCCTCGCCATATGAAATCTATTCCATGGGAATTAAAGTTAGCGGATTTTTGAAGGCATTTATGGCAGATTGTGAAAACTTTTCTCTTATTCTTTTGCCAGAGCATAGAAGCATGGAGAAATAAAGATGGGCTTTCACTGTGACTCTCTGCTCTAATCCTCTTAAACACTTAATGTGTCCCCCTGTACAGAGCAGTGAAATTAAATATAGCTATTCTTTATAATGTGTTCGTCTACTGCTAAGGGGATAGGAAAACTGGAGAAAGCAGTCCTTATATGAGTTAATATTGTATTTAGCTATAAGTATCAGAGACCCAGAGAGTGGCTTTATTTCTCATGTAAAAGTGGTCTGGATGGCGGCAGTTGGGGGCAGGCATGAGAGCTCCAGGAATCGTCTGGCTCTCTCAGCTCTCCGGTCGGCTACCTCCAGGATATGTGGAGCTCCAAACATCTTCCTTACGTTACAGGCAGAGAATGAAGAGGGAAGGAGGGCAGGCCATCTCCCTTTTAAGGATCTCTCTCAGAATTCCCACTCTCCTACTTCCATCTCATCAGCCAGAGTTTAGGCACATAGCCACGCCTAGCTGCAGGCGTTGTGCTTAATTCACTCCCTATCTCTCAATTATTATAAATCTCATTTTTTGAAAAATTAATTACCCTACAATCTTCTGTTCTCCTGGTCGTTATTGCAAGAGATTGGCAGAGAGCTCATGCAAGAGTGAGATTCTTTAGTGTCTTTCTGGATGATTCTATGCCGAGAGGTCTTCCTCTGTGTCTTCTCAGCAGCAGCTCCAACATGAATCAGTCAGGGTTACCATAGACGTAGGGCTAGTAGGCTATATGGATTAAGGGATTTTTTTAATAAGGAATCAGCTTACTCAGTTATGGGTCTGGGTAAGCATGCTTGAAATCCGTAGGTTTTGAAATTCAAGCACTGAAGAAGAGACTGTCAGGAGCAGGCTGGAACTCCAAGCGCAGGAGCTAGAGCTTGGAGTCTCTGAATTCAGGGAAGGTTTCAGTCCTCTTTTAAAGGGCATTCAACTGATTACATGGGTCCCACTAGGTATAATTGACTAATTAAAGTCAACTGATTAGATACCTTAATTATGTTTGCAAAATCTCTTCACAGCAGCACTAGATTACTATTTGATTGAATAACTGGAGAAAGGTGTGTGTATGCTGCATGATGGCTGCTCCCTCTCTTCTTTGCTCTCACTCCCAGGAAAGAATATCCCTTGTAGCCAACCCTCACTGGAAACATACAAGAGAGGGAATTCTGGGGAGTGTAGTTCAGCCTAGCCAAGTTGACTGGTTCCAGAGCCATGGTATGCTATTATTTAGTTATCTCCCAGAGACATAGTATAAAAACAAATCTGTGTTTCTTCATTTCTGATATTCTAGCCGAAGGTGGACTGATGCTACAACTGGTAGCTAAAATGAGAGCTTGGTAGTAATTGCAAATTTTAATGATTTTTTTTCTGCTTTGTTTTATCTCTCTCTTTATCATAGTTAAGGTGTTATTCTTGATGTTTCCATTAAGCAAGTAAAGAGCTTTGAGGCTTGTCAACCATTGTGAACCCATCAGAGCTAGCAGAACTTAAAATTTGTTTTTACAAAGAATGGTAAGATGTCCAATTTTTTAATGGTACAATGTATTTTTTCTCATTTGTGCCTTTTTTGTCTTCTGGGTACAAAGATACAAATAGACTCTTTCATTATTTATTAAAACCAATAATAGCTTTTGTAATTAAAGTAAAAATTAGTAGCATTGCAAATCTGTTTTTACTGCTGAAACGCAGATGCTCATTAATCTTTTATTGAAGTGATTCTCTATATTCTTTTTTTAAATAACAGCTTTATTGAGATATAATTCACACCCCGTAAAGTTCATCTTTTTAGAGTGTATAATTCAGTGATTTTTAGTATATTCACAAAGTTGTGCATTGATCACCACTAATTCCAGAACTTCTATATTCTTTTATATTAAACATAGACATGTATGTTTTAAGATAAGTGAAGAATTTGAAAAACTCAGTTCTGTTGTCTGATTTAAATTCACTTGAAAAGAGAAATT